CAAGAACTTGTAAGAAGTCATTATAAAATGACTTTGTCGGTTTGTTCTTTACGTTCTGTGCAGACAAAGTCAGAGAGGTCCTGAAGCTTGACGGGATGATGAAGGATCTTGCACAGGAACTGATAGCTGAGCAGTCACTTCTTGTGTTTGGGAGAGGATACAACTACGCAACATCTCTAGAGGGTGCTTTAAAGGTAAAGGAAGTGGCCCTTATGCACAGTGAAGGAATACTAGCCGGTGAAATGAAACATGGCCCTTTGGCTTTAGTTGATGAAACTCTCCCTACACTTGTGATTGCCACCCGTGATGCTTGCTTCAGGTTTGTCCTGTCACAGACTCACAGTTGGGAACACGTGCATGCTTTTGCAAACGTACCTGATTTTCTTATTAATGACCTGTGGTACTTTACAGTAAGCAGCAGTCAGTTATTCAGCAGCTTCATGCCCGCAAAGGTCGACTCATAGTAATGTGTTCAAAAGGAGATGCTGCATCAGTGTGCCCTGGGGGGACTTGTCGAGTGATTGAAGTTCCTCAGCTTGAGGATTGTCTTCAACCCGTAGTTAACATTGTTCCATTGCAGGTATTTATCTATTTTCCTCCTGGCTTTATATTGCATATGACATCAGTATTTAGGTTGGAGCTTCTCATGCCAGACTTTAATGCTTAAGCCGTATTTACTTTATTTATTTATTATTATTATTATTATTATTAGTGTGACTCTGTATAGATGATAGATGGATGGATAGTTCTTCATTCGAACTTGTCCGGATCTCCCACAAAAATGTGATATCTTTGTTTTCTTTCCCTGGTGCAGCTGCTGGCATACCATCTCACCGTTCTAAGAGGTTTCAATGTGGATCAGCCTCGGAATCTTGCAAAGAGCGTGACTACGCAGTAAAGAAGTTGAATGGATGGACATACCTGAATATACTTGTGTGTGTGTGTTTTAAATTACGCTGAGAACAATATTAGGACCTTTTGTTAAGAGAGATTATTTTGCTGAGGTTGTAATATGTATGTTGTTGGTAATGCATGATGCTCTGCTGAGCTTGTACATCTTCGGCTTTGTAAATCTTTTGGTGCTATGAACAATGCTAACCACCCTGCCCCTACTTGAATTTCGAATTAGATGCCTTGTATAAAAAGAAACAAAAGTGATTTTCATTTTACCTCCATCTGTAGCAAAAGTTTTAAAAATCAGAGACGCGGGTGGAATTTTTAATTTCCGGTCCTAAATTAAACAAATATAAAAAGGGAGTCCGTTCAGGCAGGAGCAAAGCTAGTCAGGTCGAACGCCTTGAAACCCTGAATACTACTCGGCGGAAGCAATATGGGCGTTCTTCAACTATTTGACGGCGGCAGCGACTCCGAGAACGACGATGTACCGCAGCTCAAAATCAATGAAGATTTCGCTCGCAGGTACGAACACAACAAGAAGCGGGAGGAGCTCCAGCGCTATGAGGAACTGAAGAAGCGAGGCCTCGTAGCTGACCCCTCCGATGATTCAGACTCTGAACCGGATTTTGAATCGGACGACGACTACGTCCATGTCACCAATTCCAAGAAGAGAGAATTAGAGTTTTTGGATGGTCTGCTCAAGGTAAAAAAGCAAGACCCTATCTTGAAAAACAAAGATGTTGTTTTGTTTAATTCTGATGGAACCGAAATTATCGGAAACAATGGAGGAGAGGGAGAGGGAGAGGGAGAGGGAAAGGCGAAGAATAAGAGGAAGATGTACTTGAAAGATGTTAACGCTAAGCATTTGATCGAGGACGGCCCGGAACTGGCGGAGGAGGATGACAAGAACATTGGTAAAAACAGTAAGGTCTACAACGAAGAACAAGAGCGGATAAGGAGAGAATTCTTACAGGCCGCCGCAGCCGAGGAGGATGATGGTGGTGAGTTTTTGATAGAGAAGAACAAGAATGCTGCGGGGGATGATGATGGTGATAGTGTTGATAATGATCAGTATGAGAAGGCATTAGATGAGTGTTTCCCCGAATCTGATGAAAATGCTGTGTTTCTCAAGAAGTTCTTTAAAGATCAGCTGTGGAAGGAGGATAAGGATCCCGAGCTAAAGGAGGAGGATTTGGAGATGGTGTCTGAGGATGAGATGGAGATCGAAAGGCAGGAGGAGTATGAGCACAGGTTCCAGGAGAATGCAGGTGATTGGATTATGGGGCATTCCAGGCAAGTTGAGGGGTCGGTAAGGAAGAAGGTCAAGGTGAGGAAGGAGCAGAGGAAGAGCAAGGAGGAGAGGATGGAGATTGCAAGGTTGGAGAGGGAGGAGGAGTTGAGGCATTTGAAGAATTTGAAGAAGAAGGAGAATGATGAGAAGGTTAAGAAGATAATGGAGATTGCGGGACTTAAGGAGGGGGAGGTGTCTACATTTAATCCAAAGGAGTTGGAGAAGGAATTTGATCCACAAGAGTATGATAGGATGATGAAGAAGGCTTTTGGTGAGGAGTATTATCAGGCGGAGGATGCTGACTTAGGGCATTATAGTGATATGGACGAGTATGATGATGAGACTGAGAAACCGGACTTTGATAAGGAGGATGAGTTGCTTGGGCTTCCTAAAGGTTGGGATACTGTTGGGTCTGGTGATGGGTTCTTAGCTGCAAGGGAGAAGGCTTTGAAGCAGAAAAAGGAAAATGTTGGTGACCATGAGGAAGAGGAAGAGGAAGTGGAAGTGGAAGAGGAAGAGGAAGAGGAAGAGGAGGAGGAAGGTGAAGATGAAGAGGAAGGAAAAATGAGTGAGGAAGATAAACAAGAGAAAAAGCGTAAATTAGGTTTATTGGAGAGAGCTAAGAAGGAGATGATGGATGAATACTATAAGTTGGATTATGAGGATACAATTGGAGAATTGAAGACCAGATTCAAATATGCTAAAATAAAACCTAATAGATATGGCTTGACTACTGCTGAGATATTAGCGATGGATGAAAAGGAGTTGAATCAATATGTGTCTTTAAAGAAGCTTGCCCCTTATACAGAGAAAGAGTGGAAGGTACCAAACAACAAGAGAATGGAGATAAAGCAGAAAGCTAAAGAGATTTTCAGACAAGGAAATGTGGGTAATAAAAAGAATCACAAGAAGCTGAGAATAAGTGAAGCAGCTAAGGGTTCAAGCTTATCAAAGGGTGCCGCAGGGCAATCATCAATGGCTGCCCCGGAACATGGGAAAGAACAAGTAGGGGACTCAAATGGTGATAAAAAAGAATCCAGGAGTGCTAGAAGGAGGCGTCTCCAAGCTGCACGAAAATTACCAGCTTCTAGGCTCATGGCATATGGGGTGGTACCTGTAAAATCTAAGAAAAAAGGGAAGCACTGATCTGAACCACTAGTTAAATCAGAGCAGTGGACAGGTAATTCTTGCACAAACTTATAACCTTAAGCTTATATCATACAGTGTTTGTTTCTTTGCTTTTTGTTATTGTCTTGCCCCTCTCCCTTTTTTGCATTGTATGTTTCTGTAGTTTAATGCTCTGATGTGGTTGCTGGAAATAAATTGTTATTGCCTTGTAGTGTAGGTTAGAATTTAAAACTATACCTAGTGTGTGGAAGCTCTTTGTCGGTCAAAGTCAGTCTTTTTCGGGAAAAATTGGTTGTAGATATACAAGCTGATACTATAATGGGGGGCATGTACTATTGTATGGTTTAGTCATTGGAAGGGAGAACATTGAATGGGTTAGGGCAGTGGAAAGGAGAAATTGTGCAATGGCATGCTGAACTCTGGTGAATGTTGTCACTGTTGCACCTTAGATTTATATCTGTACTATTATGCTTGAGGAAAGGAAAAGCAAGACAGGAAGAACACCATGATTGAGTTGTACTAATGCGAACCATAGTCATTTATAAAGTTGTGTATAGAAGCCCATCCATTTCTGATGCATAAATTTCTCTTTGCACAAGTGATGTTCATTGAAACCATACCGGTCTTTTAGTCATTTTCTGCGATTTCCTGTTTGTTAGCTAGGTTATTTCTTAGCCTTAGTCTCATACACTTTAGATTAAGCGAAAACAATGCCTTATTCTTTAATTTTGTTTACATATGTCTGTGGGTGGTAAATATTTCATAGCATCGGTGTGATCTCCTTCAATGTTATGGATTATGTAGACTGATGCTCTTTTTGGATTTTAGTTGAAATCATACACGTTAGCTCATTTGGTTCTTATGTCCATAGGTGATGGTTGTTTGGTATTTATAACATGAAGACGGACTACAATTTTGCAAAGGCAAAGTATATTGAGGGTTTTGTTGAGTTGATAGCATAGCAGAGACTAACCAGTTGAGAACAAGTTGAAAGGAAGACTTGTCGATTGAGATTGTCATTTTTTGTTTTTGCATTTTATGTAAACTTAGGGTTTAGAAATCTAAATAAACTAAAATCATTGTGTTTTTCCTGTTCTTGAATACAACTATTTATCAATGTGGACGATCTGCCAAATGTTTCTTATGTATAATCTTGTTCATGTGTTCTATTACAATCAAATTGAATGTTTCTTCTTTTCTGTGTTGACAAGTGATATCCGCGCTTTTTTTCTTTGTTTGTTGCCACTCATCAGAATTATTTGGAGGCTGCCATTTTGTTGTATTTATGGCAGCATGGTGCATGTCATCAATATACCATGGGAATTGGTTATACCACGTTGCAGTATTTCAGTGCCACACGTACCCACTTTAGATGTCTCAATTGTCAAGACATGAAAAAGGAACCGAATTGGTTACATATGGAAACACAAACCCAAATTAGCTAGCAATCCAGCCTGCATTCTATAACTTCCCACTTCCAACACAGCACATATTAACACTATTTAAAAACACCCCAATGACACACTGTCTTTGTGTCCCCTCCCAAACAAACAAATCAACCAAAACATAAGTAAAAAATATCTCTTTCCTCAAAACCTTAAACAATCAGAACCACCCAACAAACACAACAGGAACTCGCTCTCTTCTCTGTCTCTCACGGTCTCACCCGGGATCACAGCACGAGGGTAAGAAGGAAAGATGGGTTCTTTCCCCAAATCCCTAATTTCTGAAACATGGGTTTTGATCCTCTGCGTCGTGGTCGTGGCGCTCCTCCTCCCCCTCCCTGCCAGCCGATCTCCGTCGTCGAGCATCTACGACCACCTGCGGAAGCAAGGCTTGCCGATTGGCCTTCTCCCCAAGGGCATAACCGACTATTCTCTCAACGGCACCACCGGCGAATTCCGAGTGTTGCTAGAGCAGCCCTGCCACGCCAAGTTCGAGAACCAGGTGCTCTACGATTTTAACGTTTCCGGCTTTCTGTCTTTCGGACGAATCGCCAACTTATCGGGCGTGTCGGCTCAGGAGCTCTTCCTCTGGTTTCCTGTGAAGGGGATCAGAGTCGATGTACCAAGCTCCGGCCTCATTTATTTCGACGTCGGCGTCGTCGACAAGCAGTTCTCTTTGTCCCTCTTCGAATCGCCACCTGATTGCACCGCCGTTGACCCTTCTGATCCCAACTTCAATCCTGCCGTCCAGGACACCAACCACTATTCCTCTTCCCCATCTGGGTCGTCGTCGTTTGTGGTTAATTTCTTATAATCTACTTCGTTTTGTGTCCTGGGGTTTTGTTGATCTGATTAAGGTTTCCAATTTTAGGATTTACTATGGTCTCATGTTTTTATTTAGGAACAATGTTATGCTTTCTCAGCTAATTCATTAGTTAAAGAAAGAACACACATAATTCGCTGGTTGAAACAATTTGTAAGGAGTGGACAACTAGGCCCGAACCAACCGTTAGGGTTTGGGTGTGTGTGTTCAATTGAGATTTTAAGGGATTTTGACGGAGGTATAAGTCCATGGATTTGAGGGGGTTTGGATTGACTTCCATAGACTCCACATGGACTTTGAGTGAATTATACATGGATTTTATTGTCCGAAATTTGTTGTAGATTTTAGCGGATTCTAATAGACATGAGCTATTTAGGGCTCATTTGGTAGAAAGGATTAGATTGAGGGGGATAAACCTCTAAATTCAAGGCATATTGAAAGTAGATGAGAATGATTTTTCATTGTGAGGGGATTTGAAGAGGATTAGACATGAAGAAAACTTCTCCCATCTAATCCTCGCACCATGGAGAGGATTGGAATGGATAATGTTTGTTCTTGAGCAATCCTTTTCCTACCTCTAAGTTAGTCACAATTTTTTCATTTCTTTTTTCAACATACCAAACTAGGCCTTAATGATCTGATTTATGGGCGTTTCCATTAGTTTCAAATTTCCAATATCCGGAATGGTGGTGGGCCATCATGTGTGGTGTTGGTGGTAGTAGTATAGGTGGTGGTGGTGGTGGACTAATAAAGTGTACACTAGTATGCAGGGATTTAATTTAGAGGAACATGGGGTGGATTGTAGAATTTCACGTAACTCACAAACTCTGCATAAATTTTGAGTCGACTCTTCCAATAACTGGACCTTTTGGGACACGCTTGATTCATGTGTGTAAATATGTAGCACATTCTTCCCTATTAATTTTTTGGGTTTTGTTCCGCCTCCTTTTTCTGTGTCTTATGTCCAGTTGAGTTAAACCTAGAATCCATGCGCAAGATTTCATTCTTGTGAAAGCATTAATACATTTTCAGTAGCTTCTAAAGGTTTGAACAGCATTGTTGTTGCTGTAATTGTTGTCTGTCTGTCCCGAGGGTTTGTATTATTCAATATTCATTGAGTATAGAACAATCTTTGAGGTTGAAACTATTTTCAAATGTATATTCATCTTGTGCGATAGACAACTAACATTACAGGAATTTTCATGAAGACAAAAAAAATTCTTGGGACCCGATATGTTACATGAATATACTCTTCTTTTAAAATATCAAGTTAGTTTGTTTTCTGGCTGGTGATGTTTGTCTTGGTTTCATTTTGAGATTTTCAAATAGTCTGCAATTGCAAGGATTCGTTATAGCGAACCCAAGCAGTATCAATCGGTTGAGGCACTTTGATCTTTGTTTGGATTAGTATTTACCTATTATTTTCTCTTTCTCCTCTCATTTAACTTCTTTATGCCGATATTTTGGGTGGTTTAAGAAATATCTATTCTTCACTTTGTCAACTGTTGGTAGACGAGATTTAATATATAGAGGCATGTAAAATTCTGAGTGGATGTGTGTAAGTTTATGATGTGATTCTTGTTTTTATGGATTATGAAATTTCACTAATTATCACGCCGCCGCTTGATGTTTCCTTGCCACTTTCAATTAAATTTTTTGTGTCTGATAGAGCTGGTGCTAAAGTTGTTGAATATTAAATTTGCAGAATGAATCACTGAATCTTGGGTATGGAGTTGGTCGGAGAAGTGAGCTGAGGGCCGATTCTTAGGTTGTGGAGGCAGAGATATGATTGAAGTTAACTCAATCAACTTTGGGGTCTTCTATATGATTTTACTGCTCCTCTTTTCTCTGAAGTGGATGTCAAAGGTTCTAGTTTGGCAGGTCCTAAGCTTTAAGTACGTGTCCTTGGTTGCTTGCTATGCTGTATGTATATGTTGGCCGGGTACTTGTGTCTTTGCGGGGAAAATTAGAACAATTTTGGTAAAGACGGGAGTGAATATGGAAGAGGCAATGAAGATAGGGTGAGAGGGGGAGATGGGATCATGGGTGACTAGTTTTCTTGAAATTTATGCCAATTACTATATCATCTAAGTTTTACATATTGTAGATACAATGACATGAGTTCTGGATTGAGTTTCTTTTGTAAATGATGTGGGTGAAAAACTTGATTTCTTGTGTGATAATATATGTTGAGATTTTTTGGTTCCTTCGCTTGGCATGATATGCTTGCATTTTCCCTTCCTTTGTTATACGTATTCCCTTCTATCTTTTGTCTATACATTTTGTTGCTTTACTTATGAAAATTTTGGTACTGAACTCATTGATTATTCAAATTGAGAGCTTGAAACTGTAGTATTATAGGAGTCGGATAAACATAGGGAGATCAATATTATTGTAACACATTGTGTATCATTGTCTCAACTTTATTAGTAGTGTTAATGGAGGGTCTTTTCGACCCCGATAGCCCCATAAGTACACAGCCTATAGGAACATTGGTCCAGAGGAACACATGTCAAAAGGAAAGTCAATGTCCAATGAGCATGGAAAAGTAAAGTCGACCACTTCAAGAAGCCTATGGCCTCAAAGAGTCCTGTCAACAATCAAGTCGAGCACTTCCTCATAAAGTGCTTTTCGAGCACCAAAGGTCAAGTTGGCGACTGACAACTTTAAGGCACGATATCCTAAGAACAGAAGGGGCAAACTTAGTCAGATGTCAATATCAAAGCATGTGGTGGCCAGACAAGGGAACAAGGACCAAGAAACGCAATGGACGTAACCCAGTTTGAGGGGTGAACCACATAAGTCATGTGTCTATTATCATTTGTTTACAAAGCCCAAGACCATCAAGGACAAACATTCAACTCATTCAACCTTTGTTAGCTTAATTAGTTTTGAGCGTTAATAGTTTGGCACTGTTTGTGGGGATACGCATTCAACTTGGTTGCGTGTTACTACTAAACAAATCTAAGAACACTCTGTGGCAGAGCGTTGTACACACTATCTGACGAGCATGACAAGTAGAAGAAAGAAAGAAATCCCTAGCCAATGACCCCTTAGAGGAGAATGATAGCTGAGAAGGCCAAACTATCCAATTTGGAGGAAAAAATAGAGATCATCCTAGCCGATATGGGAGAAATGAACAAGGTAGGAAACCTTCATGCTTAGAACACTCTTTTCCAAGAGAATAAAAAGCATTTCTCGACAAGGTGTAGATCACCTCAGTGGCCAAACGCATGTCGACCATTTTTCCATGAAATGTGGAAAGTGGGGTGAGGACCTTTGTGAGGTCATCAATCGAGGAAAAGCCTAAGTAGAGGAAGACGCCAAGGAGAATGAAGCATAAGTCGTCGAGTTGGTAGTCCATAACTCAAACGAGAAACCCAGAGCGGCCCCAATCTACAGTCCACTTTGAAATAAGTAATGGGTGAAAAGATAAAGAGTGTATGAGATTGGTTGGGGGAAATTGAGAAGGCCTCTAGACCCAAGAACCCATATTACTCTGAGGAATAATTGCCCTTCCATTTTTCAAGGCCTTGCTTAATGAGTCGAAGAATGGTGATGCCATGTCTTTCACGATGCAAGCTACAAAGGCTCATCGACCTGTACGACCACCTAGTTGCCTTCATCTATGCAATGGAGGGTCATGAGAATAACGACGGCACCAAGTGTTGTCTAGTCCCCAACACCTTAAGAGTGGCAACATGAGACTGGTTTAAACATATCCCCCCAGGATCGATCACATCCTTTTCCAAGTTCAGGCAAGTCTTTCTTGATAAGTATATAATTACTTTAGTCTAAAGAAGCTGGCAAAATTGCACTGTAGAAATGAACAGTGTTTTGCACCACATTTCAGTTTATTTACAGGATTGCCACTCGGTTGCTTTTAACACACTTTCGTTTTATTTACACAATTGCCACTCAGGCTTAAGAACTGATTTTCGACCGTTCGCAGCTTTCGACTCGGGGAGAGAGGGGAGGGGATATCATGGCTGACAGATTGGAGAGAGACGATGACTCCAGCTGGGTGTCGCTGTGTCGAGCGGAGAGAAAGGGGGACAGAGACTCGGGGAGAGAGGGGAAGGGGACATCACGGCTGACGAATTTGAGAGAGACAGTGGCTCCCATTTTTGACTCGGAGACAGCTGGGTGTCGCCGTGGCGAGGGAAGAGAGGGGACAGAGCGACTACAGAAGAGGAGACATAGGGCCTGACAGATTGGAGACGGATGGGAGCTAGGGATTTGGACTGAGTGAGAGAAAGATTTTGCTAGCTCCTCTGCCAGAATCTATGGGATTTTCTCCCATTTTAGAGAGAGAGATGGACAGGGAGAGAGATACACAGCGGAAAGCATGGGTGTGTGTATTCTTTAGGGTTGACGGGTTACGCACAGAGTCGGTGAGGAGGGCATGCCTCAGGGACGAATGGCAGCGTCTGGGTTTTCATTTTTCTCCCTTGATTCAAAAGGTATTGCACTGCTTTTGTTTTCATTGTTTGGTGCCTAATTGCCATTTGATTTGTTAAAATTTTCTTTTATATTTTGTTCTTTCATTCAAATTCTAACGGATGTCTATAAATTGTTCAATTGGGTGCTAGATTATGTCTCTGTTTTTGTCAATTAGGATCTTCCACTGATTTAATTTGTTTTTTTCTTGATTACTTTTTGTGTGATTGATCTTTTTCTGTTTTAGAATTGTTAGGGATATTTTGTTCCTCCATTAAAATTGTCATAGATCTTTATAGATTGTTTAGCCCACCTTAGGATTTAACTTTTTTCAGTTTATTGTTTTTAATTGTTGTTTACTGTTTGATTAGCCATTTCATTTATTAAAATTGTCATAGATATTTTTTCTCTCATTAATGCTATCATAGATATTTCATATTGTTTACTTAACTATTAGGGCTTGCTCTTAGTCTTTAGCAGGTTGTTTAGATCACCTCTAGGATTAGCTATATGTCCACATTTTTCCTACAACCTAATCCATTGTGCTGACAACCATAATGTAGATAAATTTGTGCTGCTCCATTGCACATACGCAGTAAGCTGTGAAGTATATCCAATATTCCATAAGATTAACCAACGTGTGACAAGTTTAAGCAGATACACCAACAGAGAGAAAACACCTAAATTTACAGCAACATGAAAGCTTAACAAATAAAAAAAAAATTTCGTAAAACATATATAAGTTTACACAGTTTATTGTTTTCAATTTGCTGTTGACTGTTTGATTTGCCATTCCCTTTATTAAAATTGTGATAGCTCATTTTTCCTTCATTAAAGTTGTCATACATATTTTAAAGTTGTTTAGTTAAGTTTACAGCTTGCTCTTTGTCTTTGTAAATAAGGGGGCTACACTGTTAAATTGTCACGGCTAATTTTCCCTTCATGATAGCTGGTCATAGATATTTATAATTGTTTAGCTAACTATTACAGTTTACTCTTTGTTTTTCTAAATTAGGGGACTGCAGTATGTTGATATTTGTGTTTTTCAGAAATTTTTTTTCCTTTGCTTATGTGTAAACAAAATTCAGTCTCCTTTTTAACTTTATTGTTTTTTAATTAGGGAGTTTAGGCTTTTTAGCTTTCTGTCTTTATAAATAATGGGGTTACACTCTGCTCATTTGTGTGTTTCTTCATACTTTCCTACTATTTGCTTCTCACCAAATCACCTTCAGGTTCCTTTTCCACTTCACATCATTCGAATATCTCTATGTTCCTAGGTTGTTTTTCCATTTCTTGGTTGCTTCTGTATTTTTGGGATGCACTTATAAATTTTATTTTTCATATGCATGTAGATCCAGCAAAAACATACACATCAAACCCCTCATTCACACAACAGCCACCAAAGAGACCATTACTGAGGTATTTCTCAATCCATTTAAAAATTTTTTGTTAACTTTTGTTAACTTTTATACAAACTAATTTCTAATATAATTCTCCTTACTGTGTTTGGATACAAACTCTTTTTCCCTCTAATTTTTTGCCATGTCATGTATACTTGCAGCTCAACCACCTGCAAGTTTTTGAGAAACAAAGAGCCTCATCCACAGGAATCTGTAATTCATAGCAGCAGGTATATCCTAAACCTTTCGTTATCATCTCCTTATTCATGAAAACTTTTTCCTTCTATTTTTTTGTTGATACAGTATATAGTGTCCTTTTTCTAACTTGGAGAGAATCATTTCGTATTATTTGGTAACAATGTTGTTCTTCAGCTGCAAAAATCATCCTTTTAATCCATTTCAACTTAGGCTCAACTTTACTTTCGTTTCAGCTTCATTTTCATGTTAATCATGTCCTGTTTGTGTGTGTTTTCTGTTGGCATTGGAGGGTGGTGCTTAAACTGAAAGCTCTGGGTTTATTTATTTATTTATTTTATTTTAAAACCAAGCCTACATTCTTTAAAGCCACTATTAGTATTTAACTACGATTTGAATTAATTGATCTGTGAGAGGACTGATTCCAAAATACATCTTAACAGCTTTAAAACTCATCACTCACTTATTAGTCAAGTCAACCATTTTCCACTCAACTCTGATCTGCCAATTTGCCAATTGGCATATGGTTTTAATTTCAATAGGTTTAAGGACTAGGTTTGGTTGGATTTCAACCATTAGATTTCGGATTAAACGCATTAGGTTGAACGATTAGATTTGGTTGGATTTCAACCATTAGGTTTTGTGTTGCATGTCTCCATGTTTCAGTCTCTGTCTTCTCTGTGTAGTTAGTTTGGCCTGTTTTTAGATTCTTAAATAGTGCTGCTTAATATTGTTTGTAAGGTTATTTTTACGACTAGGGGAGTAGGGATACTGTAGCAAATGAACTTAAAGTTGTGAACAAAACTGAATTGAAAAGTAAGAAAA